CTAATTTTTTAAAATAAATATTTTAATACTTTTAATTGCGTGTATTAAAATAAATATTTTAATACACACAAAAGTGAAATATGGATAAGATATTTTTACCTTAATGAAATAGTACAGGCCCGAGGTATCCGGCCCATGTGAAATTCCGTAGGTTTTTTTCACCGCCGTTTTTTGGGGGATTAGGGGGTGCTGAATTCGAATTCTAAGTTTACCATGAGAAAAATCTGTTTCACAAAGAAAATGCAAAAAAATTAAAAGTTCGCACTTTGTTGAGTTTTTCCTGTAAATCTCGACAACAATTCGCATTATCAAAGTGCAGCGATTGGCTAACAGTGGATAATTGATCATGGAGATAAAAGTGACAAATTCTTCTTTACAAAAATGGTAATAGGCATTGTTAGGCATATCCTTATCGTCGTATTACTCTGTAGTGATGCTCTATTTTTTATATCTTAAAATTATTTCACTAAATAATTTTGAACTTATCAGATCCTATATTTTTGTTTCATAGGTAAAATTTTCTCTTTAGTTTTGTTTCTATTATCTCTCAATATTGGAATAAAAATACGAGTTTGAACTATTAAATACCAAAACAGCAAAAAAAAAAAAAATCCATAATACTGAAGAATAAAAAGTACAACTTACTTTCTCGCGTTATTGGAAGCAGCTAAGTAATATTGAAATATTGCATTTTCTGTGCTCCTGAACACCTCAGCTAGTATTAGAAAATGTACAATTAAACCAAGAAGCGAGTAACGCACTGTTGCCAGCAGACTATGTGCATTGACTTGGCTGATAATATCAGTACAGTATTAGAATATAAGCAATTGATATCAACATAATTACGAAAATTGTGGCTGCTCACTCCTGAGTTGCCTTTAGTCTAGGGTTACGATACATTATCTTTTTCCCGGACATGTTCTCTTTTTGAAGTACGAAAAACTGTTCGGGTGGATTTTACAAGAAAGGACGATATGCCCTCTTTTTTATTGTAAGGGCGTATTACTTTTAATTGCAACCTAGATGTATGATGTGTGAATGATACTTCGCTTTTTTCAACTTGTTCGTGTCATAACATTTGTATAAATACACTTTATTGTGTAAATAAATGACATTTAATTTGAACTATTCTGCCTAACAACCGCCAAAATCCAAAGATTAACAATACTCCTTAAAATGTCCTTTACTCCATGATATGTGACAGTGCTGTCATTAGCTGGTTAAACGTATTGTATAGCGGTGCTGGTTGGCCTGTGGAATTAATACCTGTGGTCTTATATTTCGAGCATGATGCCAAAAAGAAAAGCTTTGTTTAATGACATACAGTACTTAAAGAAAAGTTCAAAAGCGTTTGTTGCAGGGTTCAAGCAAAGAAAAGTTATAATTCTTGAGGGAGATTTCATCATCCACCAAATACTTCTGGTATAAAAGTGGGAAAGACTGTAACGATAATGAAATAGGCTTCTTGTAAACTATTGTGAAAGTGATGAGTGATTGTAGTATTTATTTTGTTAATAGTAGGTATTTTGTCTTTAAGTAAAACAAATTATTATATTAAAACATTTTATATGAAGAGTCCTCTTTTTACTGTAATGGAAATATGGTAACCATGCTTTCATCGTAAGATAAGTTCCGATACCGTTTCATCGGTTTTGTTTTATTCAATTAGCAGTAAATTGTTTTGGGGATCAGATATTAAATGGTATATAACCTACCTCACTAGGCATTCTGAGGGAAAACTTATAAAAAAATGACTGCTGCGAAATTCATCTCAAACGGAAGTTCTGGCTCTCGGTCTAAGAGTTACACCACCTCCATCTGGCCTTCATAAAACAGCTGTGTTTATCACTACCAACATATCGACAACTATTAGCTTCTCAAATATCGGTGCCGCATTGTTGCGATATTCCTATTAAGCTTTGCAGATTGCTTAGATAGAAATACAGTAATACATTAAGAATACAAATGAGTAAAAATAAAAAAAAGCGAGAGTGTAAAAGTAGAATTAATATTGACATATTCAATAGTGAATTATAATTAAAATTTAATTATTTTCGCATCCTTTCAATTTTTCTTGTGGCTCGTAGTTGGTGTGAAACCTGTATATATTTAATTTCGAGTAGCAATGAGGCAAAAGCTACTAGTTTTAAAAGAAATTGTGCATGACCTTTTTTAAAGAGCTTATTTCGTACAGCAGACTTTGTCTGAGGGAAAAATCCTTACCTTAAATTTTGTAGTTTTGAAATATTTTTTTGCAATTTTCGAAAAAATCTAGCAATACCCAAAAATGAGACTAGCGCCATATTTCGTTCCGTTCCTTATTAATATGTGAAGAAAATTTAAAGAAAAAAATTAGAGCGATTTTTGATTTTTTTGTTGTTGTAAATTTCAATCGCAAAATATGCAAAAACTAATACGATAATGATACCTGCGTTTTAACGATAATGATACCTGCACAATTCTCTTAAACGTCCTTTGCACTTCTCAACAACAAAATGTAATAAAATTTTTTTTTGAAAATTCTGTAAATACCTAGGTTCATGTGACCTACCCCCAAAATTAAAATATCGGTTTCAAATCCCAAGGGCCGCGACATCAGCTTGGGGAATATCAATTTTGGAGAAAATCGACTGAACGGTTTATGTACTAGCGTTGTGCACAGACGGACAGACATGTTTTCCCGTCAATCGATTTTTCGGGATGAAGGACCCACAAAACATGGATTCTGGATACACCACGTGTTAGAGGACTTTTTTTATATTTAGCAACTGTATTTATCCACATTTTCCTTACCAGGGCCCGGCAATGAGAGTTTTTGTGTCGAAAATTCGCATTTTCCCGGCGCACGATTACAATACTTTCTCTTACGTTAGTACGTGCGAGAAAGTAAAAGTGTAGTAGCCATACATGTATTAGTTAAATTTAAATATGGAGTTTGGCATTGAAAGCTTTTAGTGGGACGTCAAAAAATGTATTTTCATACCAAATTTATTCCCTACCCACAGTAGTCTCTGCACTGTATCGTTATTACCAAGACGAGGATTTTGATGACAGAAAACTGTCTGAAAAAAATTGATGAAAGATGACACGACTGAAAAAAATTGATGGAAGCCAGTTTTGATGAAAAACTCTAGCTGTTGGATAAGTTACTGATGTAATCAAGGCTTCATCTTGCTTGCTAACTGAACTGCTCTTTACCAGGAAATAATTTGTCATTACTTATCTCGAAATCGGCCGAACTGGCAATGCGCCTTAGATTACTTACAACGGCTGACAGTACAATTTATGAGCGAAGAAATCGAATAGGCTACTCACGAAGTCTGTGGAGAACATTTGTTGCGTTTCGTAAATTTTTTTGAAGTTTTTATAAAAGTATTTTAAAATAGGTGAATCAGCGAATGCTTTAAAAATTACGGGAAAAGTTAAATGACTTATTAGACGAATAGACGAAAAATGCAAAAAGAAGTCATGTAAAAGTGGACCATTTCCTTTTGTCATAGAAAAATTAATGACTGTAAAAATCGTTCTAAAGTGAAAAGAAACAAAATGACATTTCTTTAAAATCCGCTTCCTAGTTGTCTGTGGATGTTTTCGGTTTGTTCCTCCGCAAATTACGAGATCGACGAAACGGCGGTGAAGGAATATTGAATATAATTTCGTTAATTGACTCTCGTCATTATTTTTGATAATTTTAAAAAGATATATTGTTTAAGTTTTTATATCTCATAAATAGTTTTTTTTTTGACATCGTATGTATTATAGACTTGATATTTAATAGTTTTGAATGAATTTCATAAAATTCACGTAGAGAGACGGCTAAATTATTAGTTTTTTTTTACTTTTTCGTAAACTAATGTGGTACAGAGAAAGTATTGTAATGCTGAAGGGGGGGCGATTTTTCAATAGAAAAACTCTTGTTGGTCCCTTATGGCGGTGTTTGGATGAATAAATATGGATAAAAGTGGATACATTTTATTCCCAGTAATAGTAAATTAATCTTAGTCTTCTACGTAGTGTCGTCAGAATCCACATTATATGAATTCTTGATAAAAAAATTGGTTTACTTCGAAACGTTTGTCTGCGGTCAACACTAGCGCATAAACCGTTCAGACGATTTGCTGTAAATTGCATTCGCCGATTGATGTGGCCGAACTCCAGGTCCTGTGAATTTGAAACGGATATTTTGATTTTGGGTGTTTTTTTACTTGAAGTCATAACCATATTGTCAAAATTTACTTATAAATCGCTCCAAATTTGTGTATTAAATTGATTTTGTCCGGTAGAAAAAAACAACTCTTTACAAAATAAGCGCAGGTGTCATTGTTAAATTCTCTAAAATTTCGAAAATTGGAAGAGTTCAAAACGTTTTCGGCGTCTTTCTACAACTACAGCATAGAAGGTAGATTTCTTCTTAATGAATTCTGTTTTGGAAATTTTCGCGAACTTTGCGAGAACTATAAGCACCTATAAAAAATATTTTCTCAAAATACGTTTATAAACTAGCGCAGGATCCATTTTCGGTAAACTTTCTGTATTTTCGATAATAGCCGAAGTTTAAAATTGAAGAATACAACACATGAGAAATTTCTGTTCTGAATGGTTCCTCAAAATTACATCCTTGATAGAGGTCATGAATTCTTTTTGATGAACTGAAATTCTCTTTTTGGATACTTTGGTTATTTTGTCATAGATACCGAACGAGTTTGACGCCATGTTATATGAG